TAATATTACTTAGCAGTGAATCAACCCTAAAGGAGTAATTAACTAAGAGAATTAGCAATTCTATATTGATTTACTTTGCCACTCTATTAAATTACTTTCTAATTCTTGTTTTGAGCTTGTGTCTTTCTTTTTTATTATATTTTAATATTTTATTATGTCAGGATTGTTGATAAAAGCATACTGAGCAGGGTGCCTTCATTGTTAATAAAGGTATATTATCACCACACCTTCCACCTCTGTAGACACTTCCCCCTCCCACAAATGAGATAAGGGACCCTCAATTGTGGAAGATAGTGTCCTTTTAGCTGGCTAAAATGTGTGCTTTCATCCTCCAAATCCTTTGGCATCTTTCTTCCTTAGTAGTTGGTTTCACAATAAAGGGAAAAACTTTTTTAAGTCTGCCACTAAGGGAAAGTTTTCAGAGAAGCCTTCTGTTTCTTACATGTTCTTTAAGTTTAAATCTCTTTGATAATTACAGATTTACACTCTCAGTGTATCTTATTTTCTAGCAAAGCATTTATATCTAGTTTTCACTTTTCCAACAAAGATACAGCACCTTTGTACACTGGTTGATGAGCATTAGTCACCATTAGTTGTTTAGAAAACTTTTATTATAGTGTTAGTAATTACATAATTTAGCAAAAAAAAAAAATTCCAAGGTGACTGTTGTTTGAAGAAAACTATTTTAAAGGTTCTTGATTAACCATGGTTTCTCAAATTTAAATTGCTCTTGACAACTGAAAGTCTTACAGTTCAGGGCAAAGCAGACTACAGAACTTAAAAGGACGGTTCACCACTCATAAATTCAATATGTGTGAAAGTCTGAGGGAGTGGAAGGAAACTATGTGGAAATAGAAACAAATTTTAAATTATGAAGTATATATAGAATAACCAAAAAAGATCAAGACTGCCAATTTTATAATAATGTATGATATTGTCATTAGAGATGTATCTGTGTTTAAAACGTCTTCTTATTTTGCCTATAAAAATAGACATTTTTTATTTGATTTCAGATTAATTTCCAGAGCAGCTTCAGGACTAAGATGATGATACTGTATTGACATTTGAAAAATATGAAATAATTACATTCTTTTTGAAGTTATTAAACAGGGAAATTTTCCATGGGCCTTAAGGTGTCACCCTAAAAATTAAACCTTCTGATCTTGTTTTCATAGTTTCTAGCCACTTTCGCAGGAAAGTAACTATAAACATAGATGTTTTACATTCTTTCAAAGAAACATCTTTTGATGGGTGTTTCTCAGGACCAGTGTGATTGGGAAAGTGGTAGCCTAACTATCCAGTCCCTGGTCATTGCTGAAAATCTATAAATACTGGAGTCACAAAAATAAAATCCTTTTTTTTCCCTATCATGCATCGAACCATGTCCATGCGAATCATTCCGTGTCCTACAGCGACATTAAGGGGCCCCTCAAATATCTCTGCATACTCACTTCATCAACAAACCATTTAAAGATGAACCTTCAAAGCTGCTTGATTTTGGGTGTGGGTTTTTTTAAGTTCTGAAAGTTACCTACTTAGTCTCTTATTCTTGTGAAAAATCTTGCCACTCCCAGTGAAATCTCTGCGTGTTGATACTTTGCTAAGTTGGTGCCCCTTCAAAAGGTGCTAAAACATGAGCTGGTCTGAGAATTCCTTTCCTGACATTTTGCCTTTTCCCATGTCTCACTGCCCCGTGGTTTAGGTGTGTAGAGTTGAGCACACCGAATCAGGCAGGTGTTGAGCACAGGAGGAGCCCTGGAGGTCTGTTCCTGTGCTTGTAACTTGTGACACTGACCTGAATCATCCATCCAGCTTCCCTCTGATGGCAAACAAATGTCACAGGCCCTCCAGGACCTGAGGGAGCCAACAGGGAAATGGAGAAGGACTTTACAAGGGCCCATAGTGACAGGACAAGGGGAATGGCTTCAAACTGAGGGAGAGAGGGCTTGGATTAGATAGTAGGGAGAAATTCTTTGTGAGGGTGATGAGGCACAAGAACAGGTTGGCAAGGGACACTGTGGATGTCCCATCCCTGGAAATGTCCAATGCCAGGCTGGATGGGGCTCTGAGCAACCTGATCAAGTGGGAAATGTCTCTACCTATGATAGGAATTGGAATTAGATTATCTCTAGAGTCCCTTCCAAGCCAATTCTCTGATTCTGTGCTGATTATTTCTTGATGAAGTCTATTTTTCTGTGGATTTTCTCATTAGTACAATGAATTTAGAGCTTCCAGATCACAGAGAAAACTGCAGCCACCAGGTTTAGCAGGCTCCTTCTCTAGAGAGGCACCCACAGTTCTTGATGGGTTTGGATAGCAGAGAATGGAATGTGGAGCAGCCTGGGTCAGTCTATGAGAGAGCACTGCTAAAATACAAATATTGGAAATGTGTGGGTCAAGATCCACCTCCAAAGCAGATCTGCTTGGCAGAAATATAGGTCCTGGGGTAGGGAATTATGCTGGATTCCCTGACAAAATTTGCTTAATAACACACGTACAAATTCCACAGATCAAGACATCACTGGGGTAGTGAAACTGGTGGCTGGCTTCAGCACATTCCTTCTGCATGGTAGGAAGGCAATGACCAGAGCTCATGTATCCTGTCATCAGGATTTCTTCTTTCTTACACTTGGAGTTGACCACAAGTTCGTTGTATTCCTTAGGAATCCAGAAAGAATCCAGAAAAACTGCAAGAATCATAAACTGAGTCGGGTGCCTGTGCTTTGTAATCAGGGAGTGTGCTCTCTTACAGGATCAATTGCTTGAGCAATTAATGAAATTAATATTAAAAATTACAGTTGAACAGTAGAGATTCCATGTTAAATAGCTGAAAGTCAATTATTTCAAAGTCATTTCAGTTCTGAAAGAGGTTTTGGTATTTATTTTTTTCCAGTAATTTTCATCTATGAAATGAGGCTTAGGCAGTCACTTTTATCTGTATCTGTTTGTGTGCTCCATGTCTCACAATAACAACTAAACTGGTTTGCTGATTCAACAGGACTTTGTAGTTATTTTTGAGACTGCCTAAGGCTTTTGAAATTTGGAGCCAGATAATGGGAAAAGAAGCAAAGATAAAGACTGCAGTGTAAGCCTCTGTATCATGAGACAAAAAAGAAAAAAGAAAGTGGCAGAGAACCTACTGGAAAACATTTATTTATGTTTTTTGATCAACTCTAAATCCAAAAGAGATAAGACTTCATTAATACCAGTGCTCACAGAAGTGTCACTTTCTGAAGCAAACTGAGCCTACATTTGTTTGTGTTTTCCTCTAGAGTTCATCCTTAATAGGAAACTTCCTTGAATTTTGTTTGTATTACAGAGGAAATTTTCATGTAAGTTGCATGAACTTTAAAATAGGAAAGTGTAGGAGAAATAGAGCATTATTCTTATTATCACTCCTTATTCTGCTTGCCTATTGTATTTTTACATTATCCTGGTTTTTTACATGTTTTACATCACAGAAAAATTTACTTGGGAAAAAAAAATCTATCCTTATGGAGTGAGCTGATCTATGACTTAACTACCTTTTGAGTCCTACTAAGATTTTAAAATTAATATAGGTAGAACTTGATGGTCATTGATCATAAGGGTCTTTTTTACACCCTTCTGGATAAGGTGACATACAAACCCTTTAGAGTAGTCCATAAATATTGCAAAATATTGTGGCCACATAATCAACACAAAAGAAATATAGATATAACCTCAAATAATTTTTTAGTGTCAAAAGATGCACACAAACTATTTTTATGTCTGAAAATACTTATTAGAAAAAATAACTTCAAGCAGTGGAATAATTGGCATGTATTCAAATTGTGGTTAATTGAATTCTTCATCTGTGTCTTAGAGAGCCACATGGGGTACATACAGATTCTGCACAGAGGAAGCAATTTTCATTAACAGGATATAATTTAGAATGAGAAAACATATACACTCTGCCTGCAACACAGTTAGTAATTAATATGGAATAAATACATAGACATACACCAAGTTACCATATTTCTACCTGTCACTCTGTAGAGTTTCAGCAACTCATTTGCACGCTAAGTAAGTATATTTATTCAGAGAGATGACACTGTAACACAAACTTCAAAAGTGGAAGACCTTTCTGTCACAGCATCGGAAATGAGTCACCCTTGTTTTTAAAATGGCAAAGTGAGAGCAGAATGGTGATTTGATCTCATGCCTCCTCACATTTCAGAAGTTTGCTGGTTTCTGAACTGACACTGTACTATTAAAAAAGCTGATAACCAGTTCCAAAACTGACCATTAGTTTTGAGGCTGGTCAATGATTAGAGAAAATTTGAAACCTCTTAAGAAAGAATATTATTTCTGTTTTGCATTCTGACTACCTCTAGCATTTATTATTTGGTCTCTCACATATGCTGTTCATATTGGGATGTGTCTGCATGCAAAAAGAAAACTATCTGAAGGATTGAGAAGAATGTTTTGCAGGACGTGTGAGAAAATATGCAATATCAGTGAAGGGAATGGCTGACTGAAATCCAGCAGCACCACAGGGTCCAGTCCCTGTCAGTGGCTTGCTGCATCACTTTAAGCAAGTTGAGTTTCACCTAGTCTCAGAAACAGTTAAAGCTATTTGGGATAAGAAATTCTGTAAGTCAAGACCTCAGAATGTGCTTGTGCACATATCAACACTGAATGTGTTGGTACAAAGCCTAACCATGATTCTTTACCTCTGGAAAGGTATAAACAGAATTTTAAGTCCAGTTGCTTTTAAGACTGTGCCTTGACATGCACACAGTTCTTGACTCCAACGAAACTGAAGAATATTCCTTAAATATTCCCTTGAATCCAAGCTCAAAACTCCAAATATCTTGCAAGGATTTCTTAGCAATTCACCTGAACTGATTCAGCACAATAACAGCACTCCCAAATATTTTCCGTATTTCTGCTATATTTATTTTATGAACCACAGTTATATTTAATATTAGTGAATTGTAAGACTAGACTTTATTCTTTCCTTCTCCTTTTAACAACAGGTGGTAACAATATTAGCAAACATGTCTGTGTTGGACCAGTGTGCTTCAGAAATCATTCAAGGAAATGGTATGTATTTCAGCTGAATTATATTTTTTATTTATTTCTGCAGAATCTGAGTAGATGGGAGTGTAGTAATTACACAGTAAAGGAGAAAGGCTTCACTAATAAAGCTTCATTTTGCATCCTATCTCTGCTGGATATTGCACATTGCTGCAGGGTGCAAAATGAGTCCTGGGAATGGTTCTGCATAACCAAAATATAATGCCACTGTTTTAGGAAACTTTGCCTTTGTGAGCACGTTGCTGGTGTTCTGTGTGTGTGACTTATTTCTAGATGCAAAGCAAAGTAGTAAAAAGTGTTTCAGCAGCCTGTATTGTGGTAAGACTGGTAATATTGTGGTAAGATGTAAATGCCTTATCAATGCACCTGCCAGCAAATTCAAGGCCAAGCAATATAATAAGATGGGTGCCTTTTCTTTTTTCTTTTTTTTTTTTCTTTTTTTGGTGGGAAACATTAAATTTCAGTGAAAACTCACATATATTGCTTTGCTAGGCCAAGTAGGCCGAACTCATGCTAGACACTGCAGTGGATTGTCAGGGACAATGACAACAGGTAAAATTTGTGTGTATACTCTGTCATGGAATTTCACAAGAAGCATTTTCCCCCTGGCTTTTGGGAGGGGCTGGTACTCATCTTGTGTAAAATCTTTTTAGTGACTGCATAATGTTATAATAAGCAGGTGCTAGTCAGAGGCCACATTCTGAGATCAATCTTCAAATGCTGGAGCATGTAGGTACTTTCTTCTCAGCTCTGACTTTTTTGTATGTTGATTGATAATTATCTAGCTGCATGGCTCTGATGGTAATTCTCTGAATTATTTATGCAAATGTTTTAACAGTTCAAATTCTCTGATGCTACCTGATGTAATCTGGATGCCTAATAGCATATGGAGTCTAATAGTGCATAATTGTCTTTACACTTAAAATAATCTAGAAAACAGAAATCATCATGTTGTTTTTTTTTGTGGTGCTACAAGAAGAATATCAGCTCCTACAGACAACGATAAATTAATGAATCTGCTTTGACATTGATGACATTGTCTCTTCTGGAGCAAAGAGTTAGTCACACAGTAAACTTCAAGAAACAGAATTTCATAATTTCCTTCATTAAAGGATTCCTCATTCTAAAATACTCTTAAACAGTTTGAGAAGGAAACTTTCAAAGGCTTGCTTAAAAACATGTAAACAAACAAACAAAAAAATACCTTAAATGAGAGTGAAACTTCATTTAGAGACCTGAAATATATCACTACAGATTTTTCAGGTTGTGATTACCTTTAGGTTAAATTAGAAGAAAATAAAGAATTACATTTGGTTGACTGAAATAAATTAGTGAAATTTAAAATACAAAATTTTAGAAGAGGAAAGAGTAATTTTCTAGATCCAGAAGTTTTGTAGCTTCCTAGTGAAGAAGGACTTACACATAGACCACATGCACCTGGGTGTTGATGTCAAAATTGCAGCCTTCATTTATGTATTCTCTTTTCATGTATTCTTTATTCATTCCCTTTTTGGGCAGTGGCTGGTCTGTATTAACCCAGCTTTCCTCTTCCCTTCACTTTCTTGCACTGAGTTTTTTTTTTGTTGGAGAGTGGATAACAATGGCTCTTGCATTCTTTTAGGTGTTCAACTTTTAATGGAAATGCTCTTTGAAAAATCCTCCTCGGGAAATCCAGCAGAAGCTGCAGCTTGTGAGCGAGTCCAGCAGAAATCTGCAGTTACCCTGGCACGGCTCAGCCGAGATCCGGAGGTGGCAGATGCAGCAGTAAAACTCAGCTGTAAGGATGTGCCTCCTGCTTAATGGCACTGAAAGAGGGGGGAACTGCCAGCCATGGAGAAGTTCTTTTTAATTTTTATCCTCACTTGGGAAACTTTATGAAAGATATTCCATATAAAGTCAGTCCAGAGGATGACTGAGGATATGGAGCTAAATAAACCTCTTCCTCTTTCCCCAGAGGAACCTGAGGTGCAGCACCCACTCAACACGTAGCTGTGCCTTACTGTGCCAGCTCACACTGCTGCCTCGGGCAGGATCTGTCAGGGCACAGAAAACTGGGACCCCAGCAGCTCCAGATGTGATGAATCCAATGGGAGGGAATGTGTTCTTTGGCTAGGAGTTTTTTTAAGGGTGTGTGGGATGATTGGTAGGGAAGAAATGGAGGTCACAATTTCCACTCTGAAACTGCAGCAGCATGTAAACCAAATTTATTTGTTTATGCTTTACAATCATTAATTATGACTGCTCTGAACTGCAGAGCTCCGTGGAAAGTCCCTTAAATATTTGCATATCAACTTTGCAATAGAGATCATATCTACTAAAAAAGATAAACATGATGAATCTAAAAAATATCACAAAATAAGAAGAATAAGAAGTTGTTTTTCTAAAGTATTTCTCCTGACACTCTTTTGTGCACTCAGGTATTCCTCGCCTGATTAAACTTTGCAGATCACCAACAGAAAGAAATAACAGTGATTCTGTTTTAGTGGCATGTCTGGTATGTACATTTTAGTCTTCCTTTCATGCTTACACTGGAAAATTAAGGAGAAAACATCCCTTTAGATTACAAAATGCATAAGTATTGCAGAAATGCTTTAAATTCATTTTAGGGTCTCCTGCTTTTACCCTTAAGCATAATCCTGTATGTTGTCAATTATTCATCCTCAGATCAAAGATTTAAGCACATAAAGAAAAAATGGCTCCATCTTCACATTATTTGGCACCAAAATACTTCATTGGAACACTTTGGAATTTAAGGATTCATTAATTCCTAAATCCCATTCTGTGATGATTCTATGATTATTGAAATTAGCCTTGAGTCATGGGGGTAGCAACCCTTTATCTGCACTCACACATATATATGAAAATATTTATGTAAAGCATCCAAAAGGGGAAAAGATATGTCTTGCTTCCACTCCAATCCAATTTTTTGTTCTATTTGTGTCACCAAGACAATATAGTGCCCAGCCAAGGAGTGGGCAAGAGAAGCTTGACACTTTCTCTGCTCAAGAGAAAGATCCCATCTGCACTGCATGGACTGTGAGCCAAAAGCCAGAGCTGAATGATTTCACCAAGCATTCTGTGACAGGGCCCTGGGGACATGTGTGATCTAGGCTTGGAGCACAAGCTCTAGTGAATGAAGGCTGAAGAATATTGTTTGACAGTGCTTTATCCTACATGCCAGGAAGGCTTGTTAATCTTGAGTGGTTAGAGCAGAGACCCCAGAGCAATGGCAGCAAACCAGACTATGATTCTTCTGTCTCACTGAGGTTGTTGCTGCACATTCCTTGAATCCATGCCTATTGCTTGAGACCTTACCTACCTCCCTGTCTCAGAAATTCTGCTTCTCCTGATGTTTTAGTAACTGCCTGAAGATGTTTTCTGATAAAAATGTGGCAAAAATATTGTCCTTGAGACATAAGCTGCTTCAAGCTCTGATAGGTATTGTCATTTGTGTCTGAGGGCTTGTACTGTACTTAGACCTGCTGCTCAGGTCTAAAAGTAATGTGGCCCAATAGAATTGTCATTTAATAACTTTGCATGAGGGAAGATGAAGACAGTAAGGAGACATTACCCAGCAGCAGAATTCACAGACCTGCACAGTTCAGTTTTGAGTTCTGGCTGTTATTTAGATATGGTTATAATGGATTCCTGCAATGAAGACTTTGCCAAACCTGACTGCATTTCAATGATGCTGTTTTATTTTTCTAGGCAGCCTTGAGGAGATTAGCAGTTATGAGTCCTGATGGACTGGAAGATTCAGATTTTCAGCAGCTGGTAAAGCCCAGACTCGTGGATTCTTTTCTGCTGTGCACAAATATGGAAGAGAGCTTTGTATAAATGGGAGCCAAAAAACCTTGAACAATAGTGAAGGTGATAGGTATACAGTAAGATAACACATGAACAATTTTATTTTGGTTTAGTCCTGTTCTTATTTATGACTTATTTATTCTAAACCCATGAACATGTGGTTTATCAGAGCAAAGGAACAGAATGAGAAAACTTGTTACTGGGGTTTCCATTATATTTTCCTGCCAAGACACACAAGACTTTATCATTGCCATCTAACAAAATGTTTTGTTTAATGTAGCTGAATTAAGGTGATGAAGCCAAGAATTTGTTGCTCTGATGTTAAATGCTTCTAATGATGTTTTATCACTGATATTTTTCTATAGTTAGGACATTTTGTAGGTTTTTTTAATAAATGTTTTAGCTTCATCTGTATTAGGAGAAAAATAATTCTAAAAGCTGCAAGTATATACTTTGAAATGAAAGGGATGTTACAGTCTGAGTCCAGTTCTTAACTGTTGCTATTTTTTAATAAACTATGAGAGGAACATTTCCAAAAAATGTTCAAATACTGGCTTCAAATGATGCTACATTCTTAGGCTGTATGAAGATGTGCTTCATGAGAGGATACACACTAACAGAAAGCTCTTTATTCACACTGACTGAAGTTTCCTAGAGAAATTCACAGAATTCTAGGAAAATCTTTGATTTCGTGTGTGTGTGTGTGTGTGTGTGTGTATTTTACCTCATAATGTGAGATTTTAATGGTTTTGTGATGATTTAAAATCATTACACAGTGATAATTTTCTCTCCAAGCCTTACAAGAACAGGAAGTGCTAATGCCCAGATGTGTTTTTAACATTCAAGCTACTGTTTTTGTGGAAAGTTGTTCACACCTTTGCTAAATAATCTGAAGAGTTTAATTAAATGTAACTTAAATTTTCATTTTTCTGGTTTGCTAACTAGTCCTGTATTTTTAAAACTTAAATGGAACTCTTAGGATCTCTGGAAGTTGAGAAATGGATGATAACCTAAGTAACAGATGTGATTTCAAAATCACTATGTTTTCATGAACATTCTTTTTAATTCTTGCTTTTTTTATCATTGACAAACAGCATATATTGAAAATTACTCAACCAGCAATATCTTATTAGTGTTTTTTACCTTAACTTTCTACAAAGCACTCTTTAGATTATGAAAAAAGATGACATTTTTTTCTTCATGCCTTTCAAACATTGCTTTGGATCACTTTATGATCAGCAACTTCAGGGTACTAGGATATCTGCCAAAACTCTCCCACATTCCTTCCTTACTGTACTTTTCAGATATATTAAGCAGCTTTCTTCATTAATGTTTCTTGAGAGTTACGTGGTGTTTAGATGAAAGGCACCAGGAAATTGTGAAGCTGTGATTGCCTTCCACGTTTTCTGTATATGAGAAATCTGTCCTGCTTCAAGCAGTGTGACAGTGGTGGCTACTTTTTTCTCCCTTGATTGTGAGGGTTAAAAAGTCTCTGCCTTAATGTCTTTCTTGTGAGCTCTTCATTAAATAAGCTCTATCTTGACTGAATTTTAAAACTTTACAAAATATAGAATGACCTCTGTCATCAGCAACTATTCAAAGAAAAGTGTTGAATCAGATGTTCTAGTAAGCACAGAGATGAACTCTGCTTTTTTTGCTTACCTTGAAACAGCTTCTTAAGTTTCCAAGATTGTTTAAATGTATGGTACTGTAGAGCTTTAAAAATACTGTATTAGTGATGGACTTTAACACTTTCCTCACTAAACAGAAATATATGTGTGAGCCATGGATATATTGGTATAAAAAATGAATTAATAAATTTCATTAAAAACTAATTCAAAATAAAATCCTGTCATTCTGATAACATGGCAATCCATGATAAATCAAATCAAATTCTGTAGTGAATTTATGCACAGAACCTCATTCTGTCAGCTTCAGCTAGCACCAGAGATACGAGTTTCTAGATGGAGTAGGGTTTATCCCATAATAGGTAAATTTAAAATCTCGTTTTCCACACATGTACAGTGAACTGAAGCAGCTATTAAGAAAATGTCATCACAACTCACAGTGTTTTAATGTAATTTCTAACAGGTCAATTAAATATTCAGTGATCAGGTCAGTACCAACTAATTTTCCTCAAATACAGGAACGTGAATCCGCATCAATTGAATTTACTACAGATACTCTCAATCTGCAAATATGGGTCCATAATTCTAGACCCATATTTTCCATTTAAATGCATTCATATTACAGATTTGGCTGTTTATATTACAGAAGAAAAGCAAATTTAGATGGAACTCATATTTGCAGCAGAAAATATATTTTGAAAGAGCCATTTCAGCAGACCTCTTGTCACCTAAGTGTCCTCAAAATCATTTTAGCTAGGTTTAGATTTTTTCCCCTAGAGCTGTGCACTTTATTTTTGTATATGCTAAAGTTTATGAGAAAATAAGCATCTCTCTAACTTTACCTCTTGATTCATTTGGAAATAATAAGTCATTAAAAATACTGATATGTTTTTCTCATTATTTCTGAATGAGAATTCTGGATTCTGAATGAATTCTTGATTCTAAATGTTTGCTTCAAAAATGACTCTTCAGCTTTTAAGCAAAACAAACAAAAAAGAACAGCTGGAGCCAGAATAAACATTTTGGCTTTCAAATGCAGTATGAAATAAAATATTTCATAATGAATAATTTTCACTAAAATAAGTATTGTGGTGGCTTAATCCTCAGACTCCCTGAGTATGTACAGATACAGGTAGGAGAGTGTGTGTAATACATTCACAAATCAGCTCATTTATCTGGACTCAGTGACCTATAGAGACTGAATGCAGGTTAGGTATTAGTTTAATCTTCCTGGAAAATGAATGTCAAACTTGTTAGAAATGTTGTTTCACTTAAATTCTTCTGAACATTTTCAGTTTCATATGAGATTAGAAATGCTGAACAAACATGTAGTGAGCTGCAGGATTCTTTGTAATTTTGATTTACACTCCAGCAACTCCGGACAATATCTTCAAATTTCAGTTTTAGTTTCAAACTGTTTACAGATATTCAGGGCCCAGATGTTTCATTCATAGAATAAAGTTTGGTTATTCTCAGTTTATTGCATACTTGGTACATGAATCACTTATGTGGAATGTTACTTGTCTGACCTTTTCTGTTTTAAATAGTATTTGTGTCTACAAAGAATAAAATAATGTCTTTGTAAATTGCATACCTTAACTATTTTGGGGGGTTTCCTGTTAGTATCCAAAAGATTACTTCATTTGTAGGATTTTGGCTTTGTACAAGACTGATTCTGATCTCTCATATGGAATGCTCCAAATTTTTGTGTTGACCATCTCCTTTTAAACAGCAGAAATGAACAGTCAAAATAACCTTGGCTTTTGTATTTTGAGGAATCTGCTTTGATCTTCAGTTTAAATTTATATTAAATATTATATATTTAAAGAAGCACTCTAGACATTGTAAATTATTCACCAGTGTTCTCATTTTTAAGGGGAAGGGAGGGAAGATGGCATTAAGCATTGAAAGAAAGCTCCAGAGTGAATTTGTTAATTGGAGTTGGAAGTGCAGAACTGGTGGGAAGGTGGGTGAATAATTTCAGCCATAATTATCTTGACAAGATAAAAGTTATGTGCTTTGTGGAAACCCTTATCTCTATTTTCTGGCTTGCTCTTGGACCTGAGTTTCTCTTTTTCCAGCTGTGACAAACTTCTTCCTCTTGGGAGTATATTTGTGTAATTGCTAGTTATCTAACAGAAGAAAGTTCTATTCCAGGGTCTGGTCCTGCTAATTATTATATTGATAAGGTTTTAGCTGAGAAACTAAGTAACAAAAATAGCTTGTTAAATAGATGTAATAAGGATCACCTAGAACAGAAAGAAATGTTTATTGTTCTTACCACAAGGGGAAGGACCAAAATATCCTCCACAAAAACCTGAGAGAAAGCATAGGTATATCAGCTTATACTTTCATGTTTTGGTACTTTTACAAGCATACCTGCTGACTAAGAGTTTATGAATTGATCAGTTGTCAGCCAAATAATCACAGAATCAGAGTGAAAGGAATGACAGATTTGTCTTTACAGATGAGCTGCGGGTCTGCTGGTAAATAAAACTAGCACTGAGAGATAAAAGAAACAATGGGAAAGATTCCACTGATGGGTGAATGGAAAAAAGGATATTTGCCTTTACACTGTAGATTTGCTGGTAAATGAAACTGGATATTGAAAGATGAAAGAGACACTGGGGAAACACCATAAATTCCTAAGAATTAAAAATTAAGAGGGAGAGTTATATATATATTAGAGGGGAATCTTAGGTATCAGACATTCCAGGAAGTCTTTGCCTCTCAAGTACCTCAGCCTATGGGGAAAGAGAAGGGATATGTGGCTGGGAAATCAGGATAAAAAGGAGGCTACATCCTCCAAAACTGGAGAGACCCCAGGGGAATGCCCCATGGCCTCTCCCTTTATTCAAATAAAGTAAAGGGACTCCTTTTACTTATGTCCTTTTTGGACATAAACCTCTGGTGTTTGTGGATTAATTTTCCTGACAAGAGAAATAAAAGAAACACACTAGACCTAAAGACTGAAACATCAAAGATTTTTCTCTTTCATTTTTAACATCCAGCCACTGACTTTTTCTTTTAATAATTGATGTGTGCCTAGAACCCAAAGAAACCTATGGGAAACCAGTGGGGAAAAAAAAAATAATAGCAGATAATGCTGCTAATTTGCTTTGGAAAGAAATGTAAAAGGATCAAAAGGCTTAAATGATGTGAACAAGGAGCTGTGTATAATGCAGTGCCTAACCCATCACTCTTGTGACCACCTGTGTTACAAATTACTGCTCACCCTCTCCTTTAAGCTTTCTTTGGGTTTTAACTATCTTTTGTCCATGTTTCTCACAACATTTAGAATGTGACCTAATAATGCATATGTCTTCTAAGAGATCTACTTAGTCTGATTAGATTTTTTTATACCCCATATTGTAAAAATCTCCTTTTTTGAATAGTTCTGAAAGGATAAACCTAGCAATAATATATGTCTGTTATGTATGCTCATCCAGCAAGAGGAAGATTCTGATAAATCAA